ATCSGGCTGCGTGCAGACCTCGGAGGAGGAGTGCTCAGTGAGTGCCACAGCCCCTCTCCTGCCACCCCTGCAGGCTCAGGGCCATCAGGGCATCTCCTGATGTTGCTGCTGCGCCCCCGAGCAGCATGGTGACACCTCTCCTCTCTCCTGCAGTCCACGCTGGCCGTGTGGGTGAAGTGGCCGCACCACCCCAGCACACCGATGCTGGCAGGAAACAAGAGGCAGTTTGGCTCTGTTTGTCATCAGGACCCCAGGTAGGTCCTGCCTGGCTCTGCTGCCATCCTGGGGGGACAGGGCTGCTGTGGAGTCAGAATCCCAGGCCAGTGAACTGCTGCATGAGGCAGCAGCTGCTCTGGAGGGGTGTGGGGCAGTGACGTCCCTCCATTGCAGGGGAGGCTGAGGCACAGTGTGGTATTTCTGCTCACCTCTGCTCTCCAGTCATGTCCTGCTCACCTGGACAGTGGYCTGGGGTGAGCTGTGAGTGCCTTCCTCATCCCTGTCCCCCTCCTCACGTGCTCCCTGCACAGGTCCCTCCTGGGGGTGCAGCAGACACCATCCCAGCATATCTCTGTCCAGGAGCCCTGCAGCTGCTGGGTGCCATGGCACAGTCCCTGTGGGCTGATGCAGAACTGTAACCAGCTGAATCCCTGCCCTCGGGGTGTGTCCACCTGGAAAGGGTCCAGTTYGTTGCTGAGCTCTGTGCTCTCTGCCTTTGTGATCCCTGCACACTGGAAGGAGGCTGAGGCTTTGAGCAGCATGGCCTTGGCTGATCTGGTGTCATGTGTCAGTGTCACCACCCAGGGACACAGGSACCTGTGGGATGGCAGCCTGGGCACAGGGACAGTGTGGGAGTCCTACTGGTGCTGGGGAAAGGCTGATGTGTGCTTTGTTGCTGCAGGGTGTGYGAGCAGCCAGCCTCGATGGAGCCCCACGAGTGGCCAGATGACATCACCAAGTGGCCGGTGAGCATGGGCAGCTGGAATGTGGCATTTGCATCCCACTGTGCAGAGCCACAGCTGTGCTGGGGGAGGGCAGGGCCTCTGGAGCAGCTTCTGCTGCTTGTCACAAACACCAGCTCAGGGCAGACGTGCTCTGCCCAGCCAGGCTCAAAGCCCTCCAGCTACAGAAGGTGCCCTGTGCCAGCTAAAGCCTGGGGTCCTGCCAGGGCAGCAGGGAGATGGAAACCAGCTCAGCCTCGGGCTGGAGAGGAGGTGTCAACTGATGCTCAGGCAGATGRAGTGTCAGGCACCATCCTGCTGTCAGAGGGAGTTCTGTCTGGGGTCTGGCTTCTTCCCAAGGGGCTGTTTTGACTTTTCCCAGCAGAAAGCAAAGCTGTGGCTGTCTGACTGAGCCTGTTGTTGTTTTCCAGATCTGCACAAAAAATAGTGCTGGGAATTACACCAACCACCTGCACATGGACTGTGTGATTACAGGCCGGCCCTGCTGCATTGGGACCAAGGGAAGGTACTGAGTTCACCTGCATGGAGGGGCTGGGTGTTGGGGGGAAACACGGGTATTTCAGCTCATAGACACAGGCATTTGTCCTCCTTGTCCTTTCCACACACAGCTCAGAGTCCTGCTGGGAAGGGAGCTGGACAGAGAGCCATGACAGCTCTCCCAGATGGAGCAGGACTCTGGGATGAGCAGGAGATRAAAGCCAGCCTGACTCTTTGGTGCAGCAGGGTATCTCACTCCTGATCCTGCAGATTGGAGGGATTTGGATATCAATTTGGAGGGATTAAATAATTCTGCTGGGGAGTCCTGCATTTTTMCTTAGGAATGGCCAACTTGGTCCTGACAGGCTCCATTGTCCCCAGCCTGCAGTCCSTGGTCCCTCAAAGGAGATGCCAGGAAATTACCTGCTCTGGGTTTGCAAAAGAGGAACAAGCTGTTTTTCCTGATGTTGCCCCTGAGCTTGAGTAGTAATACAGTGCTCAGGCCTGGCTTTCCCTGCTGGGGAGAAGAATGAGCACTGCCCTGAGGAGTTTCTCTGTCCCTGAAAGTCATGGGCAGCACACTCTTGATGTCGCCCCCCCTTTCTCCTCTGCCAGCTGCAGAGGCACGAGATTCCCCCAGTCTGAGACACAGCTTCCCCAGGCTCTGGGGGCTCACTCAGCTGTGAACAGCAGCTTTAGGACCTGCCTTGGGAGCCCTGGCACGCAGATGTGTGGAGACTTTCCTGGGAGAGAGAGGCAGGAGGGGTGTGTGGAGAGGCACTGGGCTCAAATGGGAACGTGTTTGTGCCTTTGCTGAGACATCCACACATCAGGGGCAGCTGAATGCATCAGTTCTGACAGCTGGGATGAGAGAGGAGAGTGGGTGGCCTGGGAAGGGCAYAGCACTGATCCATTGTGCCTTCCAYGTGTGCCTTGTGCYTCCTGCAGGTGTGAAATAACCTCCCGGGAGTATTGTGAATTTATGCGGGGCTATTTCCACGAGGAGGCGACGCTCTGCTCTCAGGTAAGTGTGCAGCTGGGGGTTGTAGGGCTGCCCTTCTCCCTGCAGGAACCCTTGGCAGGTTCTGGGGTGGCAGTGCTGCAGAGGAGGTGGGAGTCCTGTGTCCTGCTCCCCCCTGAGCCTGGGGGAAGCTGCTGGTCCTGATGAGTGGCAGAGCTGGCTGCATCTGGAGGCCAGTCTGGGACTTGGGCTGGCAGCTGGGAAAGCTGTGGGAAAAGGATCCAGTCCTGCTCCGTGGGCGAGCAGGTCCCTYATTTGTGGGTGCTGGGGTGAAGAATGAGGTCTGAAAGCTGCCACAGGGAATGGATGGGGTTGTGTGTAAATTTGTGTGGGCAGCAAGGGTTGGACTTGGTTCAGCAGAGAAGTGGGAGAGCCCCTCTTTCCAAGCTATCTGCTGCCTCCCTGGGGTTGGAAAAGGGCCCCTCTCAACACCCACTTCTGCCCTAGGTGCACTGCATGGATGATGTGTGTGGGCTCCTCCCTTTYCTAAATCCAGAAGTCCCTGACCAGTTCTACCGCCTCTGGCTCTCGCTTTTCCTCCATGCTGGGTAAGCAGAGCTGTACAATGTCCATGGTTTGGGGTGGGGGAACCCTCAGCCCAGGGACTGCTGTGAGGGTTGTTGTGGCTGTCCCTTCCTGGGGGACACAGGGTGCTGAGCTGTGCTCCCTGCCAAGGTTTGCCARCCTGTAAACACAGGATGTTGTTGGGATGGATCAGTGGCATGGGCAAGGCCAGAGCAGSAGCTCTCAGCAAGGCTGGGGACAGAACACGAGCACAGGGGTGACTTCAGTGGCTGCTGCTTCAGCTCCTGTACTCTGCACTTGGCAGGATCCTGCACTGTCTGGTTTCAGTCTGTTTCCAAATGACGATCCTGCGGGACCTAGAGAAGCTGGCAGGATGGCACCGCATCTCTATCATCTACCTTCTCAGTGGCATCACTGGCAACCTTGCCAGTGCAATATTTTTACCCTACAGAGCAGAGGTGAGTGTGCTGCAGCCCAGGTCCTGCTAATTTGCCCTGAACACAATCCTTCTCGACACTCCTGTGCCTCTGGGGCCGAGGCAGAGCTGCCAGAGCTGGGCTCACCACTGCACCCTGGGCAGTTGTAGCTCCACCACACCACATCCCCCAGGAGACCACGGGCTTTCCAAGTGACTGGCCCAGGCTGGCTGCAGGAAAAGGGCTGCCCCTAGTAATGGATGGGGGATTGTCCAGCCATGGGGTCACAGAGGGCCCAGGCAGGCTGGCAATCAAGTGCTGTTCCTGGTGCCAGACACCCTCCACATGAGAGTGGCAGGCAGGGGAAGGGCAAAGAGCAGGGCTCACCTTGCCCACTGGAGACTGCATGGCAGGAACTGCAGGACTGCCTTCCAGCTCCTTCCATAAGGAAAACTGTGTGGTGGGTGAGGGGAGCCAGGAGATTGCCTTCAAGGGCTTCTCCCTCTGGCAACTTGAACCAGATCTGCCCTCTTTAAAGTCTGTTCTGGCCTCACCCCTTGATCCTAAATCCCACCAGGCCCTTTACTGCTGGCAGCCCMTTACATGGATAAAGCTGCAGGCTGTGGAGTCTCCCAAGAGCCACTGAACAAGGAGTAACAAGTGACTAATGTCTGGAGCTGGAGACTGTTATGAGCCTGACATTATCTGTAATGCTCTTCTTTTGCAGGTTGGCCCTGCAGGATCCCAGTTTGGAATTCTGGCCTGTCTCTTTGTGGAGCTCTTCCAGAGTTGGCAAATCCTGGCACGCCCATGGAGGGCTTTCTTCAAGCTGCTGGCTGTGGTGCTCTTTCTTTTTGCCTTTGGCCTCTTGCCTTGGATCGATAATTTTGCACACATATCAGGATTTATCAGCGGTTTCTTCCTCTCCTTTGCCTTCCTACCCTACATTAGCTTTGGGAAGTTTGATTTATATAGGAAACGATGCCAAATTATAGTTTTCCAGCTCATCTTCATCGCACTCTTCTCAGGACTGGTGATTCTGTTCTATTTCTACCCCATCAAGTGCGAGTGGTGCGAGTTCCTCACTTGTATACCCTTCACAGACAAGTTCTGCGAGAAATAYGACCTGGATGCACAGCTCCACTGACAGCAAAGACTGGCTGCTCGAGCAGGCCCTGGAGATGGCCTGTCTTTGCATTTGCTGTGCCAGTTCCATGGGGACAAAGCCTCTAATCCAGTGACACTTCTAACCCTGCCCGTGGTTAATTTAAACTGTCTCCTTAGCACTTGGCAGGCATGGTTTGCCTTATCTCAGAAGACTCTGAAAAACAGAATATTTGTGCCTTGTTCAATTGTATTGAACCTTTTCTGCTGCCATTATTTTTATTACACTAGTTTCAATACTACATTTTTAACCAGAGTTGTTTACTACTGCTAAGGTGGTGATTAAACGGTGAGGTAGCGTTTTAGCTACTGTGAATTGTTCTGAGTAGTCTGTGCCTGCCTTTGTTACTTAATCTCACTTCTGCTGTTTCATGTATCCTGTGGAGCACCCAAACCAGCCAGATGCACATCTGCAGCTGGAAATAAGGGCCTGAAAAGTCTCAGAAAAATTGATCTCTTTAATCCCTGGAATCCACATATAGCTCAGAGGCAAACACTGCAACCAGTAACTGTAAAAAACATGAGAATGTCCTGTCAGTGGAGTTTGTTCCTCTTTGRACTGTTACAGCCTTTCCTTCCAGGAAGGTGCTGAATCCACAGTCTGGGTTTGGTAGGGTTGGGTTCTCTTCTCTCTCTGTTAAAGAAAGAAAACATTTGTGAGTGGCAATTACTGTATGCTGGACTCTTCTCCCCACACTGCCATGATGGTCTGGGAGTGATCAGCCAGTGCCAGAAGTGACTGCTGGTCACAGRCACCCTGGAGCAGGTGGATGCTGGCAGGACACACATTTTCTTAATCTGGATGTTGCAAATATGGCAGTGTTGAAAGAAGAATAAAAGGTAACTGTGGTCAAAAAGGAACAGTTTTTTAACCCAGCTACCTGGAACACTAAAACAACACTACCAGGCCTTGGACAAGCTRCTCTTACCCCTGTTCTTCAGACACTGACTGTGGTTGTAGAGGCATAATTTAAAACTTACTAAGCCTGAGAGTCTTGGCCACATCTTGTGTTTGTGTGCACGACTTTCTCAAAATAGCAGTATTAATACCAGAATTATGTCTGCATGAGTTAAGAGACTCAGCCACACTCCTGACAATGATTTCCAGACACTGAAGAAGCCTAAAAGAAGGCGAGGTCCTAGAATAATCACAGCAGCAAAGGAACACTGTGTTTAATGAGTCTYAAGACAATGCAGGAGCAGAGTCAGAGTCTAAACATAGAGTTAGACACACCATGGCCAGCTCTAAGATAGCCCTGCTGCTGCTCCCAGTGTATGTTACCAGCAGGAGCTGAATTGTCATTCCCTGCCCTGAGAGGAGCACAAACACTACCAGGAGATGGAAACAGGCCCCAGCCTCGTGCAGAAATTCAGAAATAATCTGGCAGGCAGCAGAGACAGCTCTGAGCCTGAACACCAGGGCCTGGGGAAGAACTGGGAGCTCTTACTCAGGACTTACCCCCRGGTTACTTCCGAAGCTTCTTTATGAAGCTGACCTCATCCCGGTTCCTGATGCCGTACCTGGAACACAGAGGGATGCTGTTACACACCCGGAACAACAACCCCTGACACCCTACAGCCTCATCTTTCCCAGGGGGAGATGGACTCCTATAATCACCTGCTGTGCTCTACTAGTGGACACCTTAAAATTCTCACTTTTGTATGTGGGCCATGCTTCCAGAACTGAAGGATCTGCTCATTTACCTTTAGCTGCAACAACCCCTTAACTGCAACATCTGTCACCTAGGCTCACTCTTCCAAGGACACTTTTGGTTAGGGTTGTCTTGCTAAATTTTTCATATTTCAGACCACCTTTTCTCACTGATCTGCAATAGGCTGGCAGATCCAAACTGCTGAAAAATGCCTCTTCCCTCCTCACCTCAAAAATGGCCAGGSAAGCATGGGAATCACCTGTCAGTGTTGTTACCAGATTGAGAGGTGGCTGTGCAGCACTAAAGATCAACAACTTATCCTTGGTTTGCTCTTTGCTTGGCATTCATCATAAAATAAATGTTATGGGTTTGGAATGGACCTTAAAGCCCAGCCAGTCCCAGCTCCCTGCCATGGACAGGGACCCCTTCCACTAGACCAGGTTCCTCCTCCTCCAGGTACCTTATCCAACCTGGCCTTGAATACTTTCAGGCTTGGGAAATCCACAACCTCCCTGGCAACCTGTTCCAGTTCTCATTCCCTGCTCCTTCCTATTCCACACCACCAACTCTGCCAAGCTGAGTAACTGTAATTATTCTGCAGGACTTTGGGATGGATAGCCAAGGGCTCCAAGTCCCAGTGCCTTGGAGTGGTCTGAACTGGCTGAGTACTGGAACTGAGCACGGGATGGTGGTGGCCAAGGAGCCCCCCAAGGCCATCCTGTCCTGCACAGAGCCTCTCAGCCTGGCTATTTGATTTCTATGGGCAGTGCTGTCCCACCTTCCAGCTGATTTCCAGTGCAAAACCCACCTGAGCAAGGACACAACCTCCCCCCCAGGAGCCTGTGGAGATGGGCTCCTCCCGGCCCCCAGCACTGACTCGGTTACTCACTCTCTCAGCTTCTTTCTGTCATCCGCCAGCTTCTCTCCAGCGAAGGTGAGGTGGTACGTCCTCCATATGTACTTCCTGCGGGAACAACACTCAGGGGGAGCCGCAGGAGCGCTCCCGCAATGGGCTGCGCTCCCGAGCCCCCCGGCCGGCCCCGCTCACCAGCTGAGGTGCTGGACACCGCCCTGCCGTGCCTGCCGCAGCTGGATGTGCCGCCGCAGCGCCTTCTTCAGCTCCAGCACCGAGGCGTTCTGCACCACCACCACGGCTGCGGGGCGGGGAGAGCCGGCTCAGAGCCCGCACCGCCCCGGGCCCCGCTCGCCCGCCCTCCCGGCCCGGCCCCGCACGCACGCACGGTCTCGCCGTCCGCCTTGCACACCCGCACCGTCATGGCCTGCCCGTACTCCAGGGCCACCTGCGAGCCGATCTCCTCCGCCGTCACCTGCGGGCGGCCGAGAGGGGCGTGAGCCCAGCCCTGCCCGGCCCCAGCCCCGCCCGGCCCCCCTGCCCCGGGCGCACCTGCGGCGGGAGATCGCAGAGCAGCGGGTCCTGCACCAGCCGCGCCAGCGCCGCCTGGAACAGCTCCAGCACCTCGGCGTGCGCCAGCTCCTCGGGCGGCTCCTCCGCCGGCTCCTCGGCCGCCATCGCCGGAAGGGGCGGGCGGCGCGGCGGAACCGGCGATGCTGCTCTTCTGCCCGGCCTGCGGSAACGTGCTGGTGGCCGAGGAGGGGCCGCGCTGCCACCGCTTCGCCTGCACCACCTGTCCCTACGTGCGCAATGTCACACGGAAGGTACCGGGGCCGCGGGGGGCGCGGGGCGGCGGGGCTCGCTGTGCCCGCTGTGCCCGGTGCTCACTGACCGGCCCCGCCGCCCCGCTCGCAGGTGACCAGCAGGAAATACCCGCGCCTCAAGGAGGTGGACGATGTGCTGGGCGGCGCCGCGGCCTGGGAGAACGTGGACTCCACGGCAGGTACGTGCGGGCCGAGGGGCGGCGCGGGGCTGGGCTGTGCCCCCGCGGCYCCTCACGGCGTGTCCCCCCGCAGAGCCGTGCCCCAAGTGCGAGCACCCCCGCGCCTACTTCATGCAGATCCAGACGCGCTCGGCCGACGAGCCCATGACCACCTTCTACAAGTGCTGCAACGCGCAGTGCGGGCACCGCTGGCGGGACTGAGGGCTGAGGGGGAGCGCGGGGATCGTGCTCCGGCAATAAATGTGGCACTGGGCACAAGAGCGGCTGCTGCGTGCTTGTTCTGGGCCTGGCGGGGCGAGGAGACGGCTCCAGCCGGGCTGGGGCCCGTAATTCACACAGGGCAGGGGTTCTGCTGATGCACACATAACAAACTCGTGCCCTGCACACCGAGAAAGCAGCGTTTGAAACAGACGGGCCTGAGGGTAACCGAGCTAAGGACAGTGAGGAAACCCCAGCCCTGAGCCCGCTGCTGTGCCCCATCGCCCAGCAGRCAGAGCAGCGGTGAAATGGTACCGCTGTGGCCTTACAGAGAGCCACAAATGGAAAAGGGGACTGTGCTGCGACCTGTGAAAAMCCTGTCAGTTAAAGCAGGAATTACAAACTCTACACTGCAACCAATTACTGGCAAAAAGAGCATATACTTTAAATAGAACCACATATTAATTGTGTCTTARCATCAAGCTTTATTCTCAATTTAAATACATTCAGAAGTAAAAAGGATAAATAACTTAATAAAAACATGACAGAGTAGAAATTGTAACATTTAATCTGCATGAACAGTCCCTCCCACAGGCTAAGCCAGTTTGACTCAGCTTTACCTCCTATACAGGGATAATCTGCACCCATTTATTCCAGTTCATGTCACAGGGGAACACTCTCCCCAGCCTGAGAGTACAATCTATCGTGGGCTCGTAGTAGATGGTTGGTGTTTCACTCAGTTTGGGATTTTTTAGTTGTTCTTCCACAACTGGCTGAGAAAAGAGTGACACCGGGGATGGCTTTTTCAAGTAGAATCGTCTGATGCAACCAAGGGTTTCCAGACCCTGCAAAAAAAATGCACATATTTTAATTTTGGCAGTTACAGTGAAAAAAAACCACTGTGAATGCTGCTCTGTCTACAGTGTTCTCATAAATGATGGACAATTTACACCAGAAGTGGCTTCACTTGAGCCCCAGAGGAGCCCATGGTTACAGCACAAATGTAAAAAGGATAAACAACTTAAYAAAAACATGCAAGCTCACATAGATCTTGTTACTTTCAAACACAGTGATTGATACATGGTTACTGACACTAAACGTGTTCAGCAATAAATTTAGGACCAGTTACAAAAAATCTAAGGCTGCTCCAGATGTAAATCYCAGACTCCTGTGCCAGTTCTTGTTGATGGTTAATAGGTGTATGACAAGCTCTGTTTGGTTTCAAAACCAGTTCTCAGTGAATTTATTGGTAGAGAAGTTAGATTGAAGTTCTCCAGTCTGTAAAGTGTGGAGGTAATTAATTGCTTGATTTTGTGGGTTTGAATTCACATTGCCCAGGAATCCATACTGGAACACCTGGGACACTCACAACTTGCACTGTCACCCAAGTGAAGAAGTGCACATGAACACTGGAAAAYTGATTTCCAGTTAGCAGGGAAGTCATGCTTTGGGAAGGCCCACAGGATTATTGCTGTGCTTAAGATTTAAAATTCCTACTGGAAAAAAAAAGTGATAAATAGGGTTCCATTTTCAAAGTAGCAGTGGTGGCAATCAAACTTCAAGATGTGGGGACAAAATTAGGAGAAACTCAAATTTTTCTCGCTATGTTTTGTTTGACAATTAAGGACCTTCAGGCAGGTGTGTCAGGACAGGAGGTCTGATTTATACATTGTCTAGCAGAGACACATTTCAGTTTGATTCTTATGGCAGATTAYCATCTAGAAGGAAAACAATTAGGAATACTTGGGTTATCTGTGGTGATTAGGAGCTGGAACTGGAGGATTATTAAGGTTCCTTSCAACCCAAACTATTCCATGATCCTGTGATTATCACTGCATTAAACAATCAACCTAGTATTTCACAGTGACAAACCCCCACTCTTCAGTTAGTTCCCAGAACTTCAGCTCCCTGCCCATCATTTCAGAAGGAAGCTCAAATTGTACAATCAGTAACAAGGACAGGTAATCCAGGCTTCCCTCCTTCCTCGCCATGAGCAGTGGTTATTTTACACCAAAGGGAGAAGGCTGGGCTGTTTTTTCCCCATTTTCCTGGGCCCTGCAGCAGTGTCCCAGCTGGCTGAGGACAGCCCTGGCTGTACCTGCAGGATCTCCAGCACAGCCACGGGCTGCAGGACACCGCTGTAGTGCTGCAGCAGCCCCGCCTGCGTCACGCCCGGCTTGGTCATGACGTGGTAAAGCACAGCCTCCATCATGCCTTTGCACACTGGCTTGTTCAGGTTGCCATCCACGATCCTCCACGGCCTCCCAATGAAGCAAACGCTCTCACAGGCCCTGCCAAAGACAAGTGAAGCTCGGTTCTGTCAGGATTTCTAGCACAATTTCTCATCAGCACAATTTCTTTGTCATTTCTAGTTCTCACTACATCCGCTGTAACCTCTGTGCCTGCTCTGAGCAGGGGCTGCTGCTGATCTACCAGATCTGCCTTTTTCACCAGGAGTTCACCCCTTTGCACCTTTGCAYACCCAGCAGCTGCCTTGGATCTTGAGCAGGGCAGCTTTGTTTGGCRTTATCTCAAATATCCTCCAAAAGTTACCCCAGATCTGCAACWTGAAGCAACAATGCTCTGAGAGGAAACAAATTCCTCATTTGTAGCATTTTCATGTCCAAAAGGTAAGCCCTGCACAGAAATTCACATTTCTCATATTGYAGTTTCTCCAGGCCTTTGCTGGGTACCTGGGAGCTGACACTGGACTGATTAGTGAAGTAAGATCAGTTTTGCTCCTCTAAAATTGGRGCTTATTGGCTTTTTAGGTAAAAATATCTATCAGAGACATTTTTCTCAGCATGCACAGGAGCACGAGTAATATTAACAAGAACAGTGGAGAGGGGTTTCTCCATCATCAGTGCTCGCTGCCCATCAGAGCATAGAACTGAGGCTTCCAAACCATTGCTTCCAGTATAATTTTGGCAGTGCCAAGTGTTTAATATTCTGCAGACATCTCTGTTACTCACCGCTCCCTGGCTGCCTGGGAGACATCTGTCACAGAGCTTCCTGGAAAGAAAAGGACACATATTTTCTAATTAACTCCCACTCCTTATCTAAGGGAAGGAGAGTTAAAGGTGGCCAAGCTGTGAAATGCAACAGCTTTTAAGAAACCACACAGGCAAAGTATTCCATGTGCTGCTCTCAGTTTTGGGGAGCYCTCTGAGCTGCCCCCTCTGCCCTGCCTGCAGCACACTCTTCCCACAACCACTTCTCCCTATCCAACCCCACTTTTTGTGGTTCCTTTCCCCAATCCCAGCAGGTTTTACTCCTAGAAGTCTGATGCCATGGCTGAGCCATGGTGATTGGGCTAAAGAAACTGAAGGTCTCAGCCTAGAGCTCTCCCAGGGGTTTGGATAACCTAAAGCTCCTGGAAATCAGAGCGAAGTGGGGCAAAACTCCAAGGAGCTGGAGATGTGCGAATTCAAACTCAGGGTTCCAGCAGGGCTGAGTTTCAAAGCAAAGGCTGTCTCTGCAACTCCCATTACATTATGTCATGGCTTTTAATTAGACAATTACTTAACGAGGTATTCCTACCACACCCAGAGGGTAACAGCTTTGGCTTAAGCACATGTAAACGTTCACTGGCCAGTAAGAATTCTCTGTTTGATAACAGAACTCTTGTTTTTACCCTCCTATGCTGCAAACAAGTCAAGGATGTTAAATCCAGGAGAGCACTTCAGYAGTTTAATTTAAGAACTGCTGAGGTCTCTGCTGTTTAGACAGCCCTGAGTGTATTTCCTGCAGGAARGCTCCAGTTAAACAATCCCGAGCTGGGGGATGTTAGGGATCACCCTCTGGAYGTGGATACTGGCAGGGCTTGGCAAGGTACCACAGGAGCAGTGAGCCTGTGGTTCAGTCTGAGATCAGAGCTAATAAAAACCAAACCAAAATGAAATCTCTCACAAACTACTAAATGTAAAGCTTGGCAAGAACTACTAGCTATTAGAAAACTGGCAGTAAAAAGGAAATGAAAATGAAGTCCAATTGGGTTACAAATGAGGCTGTTAATCTCACTGGCATGTGCTGCTTCCTGGTGAACGGTTTAATGAGTTTAGGACTTTCAGCCATGRACATTCCAGATAAATGCACACCAGCAGTGCTGTGTTTTCTAGGCTTAGAGATGTCTGACCTTTGGACTGAAGCCACGGATGAGAAACTTCAGATACAAATTATTTTGGAGAAGTTTAAGACATGGAAACAAGTTTCTAAGGAAAACATACTTCTGGACTATCATTCCAGCAAAAGGCATAAGAAGGAATATTTGATGTATTTGAAAACTCCAGGACCTTCCAGATCAATTAGTGTTATGCCAATTTGTGTACCAGACAATCTCTCTGGTACAGYTTCATAAAGAATCTAGGATTTGCTTATAAAATGGAGCTACTGTTTTGGGATTGACTGCTGATGAGCTGATTTCTATTTCTCAGATTCAGGGGGCTCCTCCATACCTTTAGAGACTCCTGGATTCTCCTGGAAGTAGGAAARGTCATCATCCTGCCCACTGGCTGATTGTTCAGGGATAGGGATCTGCTTCTTGTGCTCAGTGCTGAGCTCATCGTTCTCTACTTCGAGTTCTTTGTCCTCAGAACAAGATTTATCTTGTTCCTTGGAAGTGTCCACATGCACAGCCTCTGGAGCAGACTCTGGGAGTTCAGYTGGGRGTTCTTCCTGCCCTCCCAGGGAGCYTCCTCCTGGAGCTTCACCCCCAGTTACAGTTTCSYTCCTTGTGGCAGGCTCAGGAACAGCTGCATCCAAAGTTCTTCCATGAGCACTTTCCAGAGYRGGCTGTGTGCCCTTGCAGAGCTGAGTGCCATCCTGAAGGACATCAGTCCTACATCTCTTCCTTGGGGGCTCTTCGTCACTGGCAGGCTGGGTGTCTTCTCCCAGCTGCTCCTCCTCTCCCAGACATTCCTGTCCCTTCCCTGGCTCCTGTGGCACATCTGGGAGAGCAGAGTCTGCCCCTGGCTGCTCCTCCTCTCCCAGACATTCCTGTCCCTTCCCTGGCTCCTGTGGCACCTCTGGGAGAGCAGAATCTGCCCCTGGCTGCTCCGCATCCTCTGCTTTGCTCTTCAGGCACACGGAGCGTAACAGCCAGGGCCTGGCAAACGCCATTGCCACCAGCCTGACAGTGTGGCCTCCYACTTCTAACACCTGCTGCATTTCAATGAGATCCTAGAAAAAASAAACAAAACCCCCCACAACAAATTATCTCAGGAGCTTTCACTGAAAAACGTCACTTTAACCATGTGTCACTTTAACCCAGTGTCAKGGAATAGTGATTTAACTAGCAGTAAGGAAAGAGCAAGAGCTTAGTAGAATATTCAATTTTGCACCCTGCTGCAGTGGAGTTGAAAAGATGTTTTATGSCTCAAATCTTCCTGAAATTACAGCACAAGACATTTTTCTTCAGCTTAAAGWAAATAAAAAATATAACTGGCAAAGAGTATTTTGCTTGCAAAGGTTGATGTTGGCACCTCTAGGYTTCTCAAACAGTTCATTCCTATCTTTGATTAAGTGCCGCTTTCATTTTTGGCCTTCCTAACTTTGAGGCAAGATTGCTCTCAGGTGTGGTGTGTGTTCTCCYGCCTAACATAAATAACTTCGTTCAATTTATGGTTGCTTCTGACAGCCTGGAAGCTCATCCTGGTCAAGGGGAATAYTAAGCATGCAAACAATAATGTATGGAAAGCAGCTGGCTGTAAACCCACCTGGATGTACTGCTCCAAGCTCCTGCTGCGCTCAGCTTCCACCTCTTCATAGCTACAGAAATGTTTGCTCAGCTCAGCTTTGCAAATCCCAAAGTGGGAAGTGGCCTCTATGGCCTTCCAGATCTCCAGAACAGCCTCCACATCTCTGGGGTTGTACCCATAACGCTCTGTGCACTCACGGAGAAACTTATCCACCTCACAGAGTTCCTCCTGGACTTTTATCAGCCTGGTGAAAGTTTCAGGCAGGCAGGAAATTCCCACAGGCATGTGATCCAGCAGGGAAGGAACTGCAAAACAAATAAACCAYGGGAGGTTAAACTGTGGAGCAGCAGCTACTGTGCAACACACTGCAGAAAGACAAACAGGTTAGAGGTGTCCTAGACCACTCCAGTTAAAAACAGAGCTCAGTTTTCCATCTTCATGGCTGCAGTTCCCCTTTTGCTTTCTGCCTTACATATCTGTCTCTGAAAAGACCTGTAAAGAAGAGCAAACTGGTTTACAATGGCTCACCCTCCCAGCAAAGTCAGTGTTATGTTCTCTAATGCTGGGCCAGCTTAGCTCTGAGTTAAYGAGGGAGTCCTTTTTTCTTAAAGAAGGTCAAGTGAGAATTCTAGGGCAAGGAAATGCTGCAGAGGACACTTTTAATCAAAAAATCCACAGCAGAAAGCTGTTGGCCAGATGTGATTTGAAGTACCACTTTGACAATGTTTTGGACAATTAGTCCAAAAAGCATCTCTGTGTTCAGGGACAGGTCCAGCACTGCCCCAGACTGACCCCCCTGTACCGAGCATCCAGAAGCTGAAGCCATGCACCCCTTGTGCCAGTCCTGGCTGATGAGGGGGCAGCTCTGGCACTGCTCTTCCTGCTCCCTTCCCTTTTACCTGCAGGCTGCTCCACGTTTGCCTCTGGGACACTCAGGGCAGCTGCCAAGGAAAAAKGGAATCAGCTGTAATGAGCAGCCAGCTCAGCACAGCTGGAGGGCAGCAGAAACAGGAGAAAGAATTTCTGTTTTGCTTCTGCCACAGCAGCAGTGGAAACGGGCAGGGGCAGCACGAGACCATTTCAGCTGAGGGGCTCATGGCTCTGGGAGTATTTGCATTGCAGATGAAACAAGATGCTCTTTAACAAGGGCAGTGCTGATGAACTGCAGTCAAACTCGAAATATTATAACAATGTTTAAATTACTGAGGTAAGAGGCCAGACATTGGACACCACTATTTCAGGCACATGCATGACACAAATGAGAATTTCCATTAAAGGAGCTTTGAAAGGTTTTCTCTTTACAGAAGAGAAAGACTGGCTGTGACATCATATGGTATTTAAAGTTGTTGAAGGGASTGAAAAACCTCCTGGAGAGGGGTAACAGAGCACAGGACAGATTGCATTAACAGTTTAACACAACACAAAATGGACGCAAGGCGTCATTACCAACAAGAACCTAAGTCAGCCATCTGTTTTAAGTCAGCAGAGAAAGCCTTACAAAGTGGATGTGCAATGCAAACAGAATGTTCCTGTTAAGGGGCTTGGTTTCAATCAGTTCCCCAGCAGGTGAGGTCACCACCTCTCCTGCTCCAACCCACTTCTGTGCACTTGAGGCCAAACAGAACTAACCTGGAGAGCTGAGCCTTCCTGGGATGGGGGTRCACCTGAGCCTGACCTTCACCTGGCAGGAGTTGACCACGATGTTGTCGCTGGGGCTCAGGTTGCGTGTGCTGACGATGCCAGGGGAGTAGTAGCCTCTCATCAGTAAATAATTGGTGTGAGAGGCTTGACGAGGTTTCACTTCGATTCTGCGTTTGCCTCCAGAGCTCTCCTCCAAGTCATCGTCGTCATCATCGTCATCCTCAAGTCCTTCTTTTCCCAAGCTACAGCAAACACAGGTGGTTTTATTTGTTTGTTGGGTTTTTTCCCAAAAGAAGGAAGTGGCTCCTCACACTGAGCAGAGCAAGGACACGGTGATCCCGCACTYGGCTTTAGCCATGGACAGCTGGGGCAATGTCCACACCAGGCTGATTTAAAGCACTGAGAACAAGAACTACAGAAAAGGAAATAAACGAAAGGTCCCTGGGAAAGGAAACTCTGTTTTTTTGCAAATGTGTTGAAATGAACCCAAAATATCTCAGCTTCCAGTGCTGAAGCACTTTGGTTCAGCAGACACTTCATCTTGAGGGAACATCTGTTTGACACTGAGAGCATGAGATGCTGCAGTATGGGGCAGACTGTGTTTATTTTTAAGGATGAAAGGGAGGAGAGAGTTACAAACTAAAGATTTCACTTACTTAAAAAATAATKTAAAAATCACCAAAACCCAAACTTCAGACATCCTCCAAGTAAAGAAAATAGTAGAAAGCAGGATGAATTTCCCAGAAACAAACTTAGTCAAACCAACACTATTTATTTCCAGGACATGACAAGAGCCACTATGGATAAAGCTGAAGGCTCTGAACAACCTGATCTAACTCTGAAACTGCCTCTRTTTTAAGCAGGTTATGCTAGGGACAATGGAAGGTTCCTTCCAACCTTTTCTAAGATGAGTTAGACCTTCAGCACCTTCTTTTAAAACATATCTAAAACCAAAAAGGAACACATCATTTAGAAAAAGCACTGAGTACACAATTTAAGATGCCTCTACTCAGCAGTGGGCCCAGCCCAGGGCTTGGTGTATTTTTGTTAATGATCTGGGTGATAAAATGGCTCATTCAGTTTACACAGTGGGGACACTGCAAGTGTGTGAGAAACTGGGATTTGCATTCAGAACATCTCCAGCACACTGGAAAGTCAGCCTGGAAAAGRGCAACCTCCTATGACAAATGCATTTTAKTTATATTACAGTACTCTGCATCTGTCCCTCCATGCTAAGAGAAAACAAGTAACCAGATAAAGGCAAAGAAGCTTGTTAGAGTGAGTCACAAGAATCCTAAGCTATACATGGATCCCAACAATAGCAGGTGTTCCATCTATATAACAGGACGGAATTGGCACAGAGCTGCCAGCAAGAGCATGGCATTTGTTTTTGACATCACAGTTCAGTGCAGAAGAAAATAATGAGARAGACAGAGAAAATAATGAGGAAGAGATCTGGATAACATGAATAAAGTGAAGGAACTGAAGCTGCTCATTTTACAGAACAGCATGTTATGGGAGAGTAACTACAATAACAATGCTCAAGCAGGTATTAAACTGTTCAAAAGAGAACAAAGTATTTTCCATGTGTATACACAATAGGAAGCAGCAGGTTAAATTACTAAGAGATTTTAGTTGCACTTTTAAGAAAGCACATAATGATTGTAAGGATAAGGGCTCACAGGCTCACACTGCCTGGGGACAGTTTCAGTTTCTGCCATTACTGCAGGCTTACAGAAAAATTAAATCCAAAAGAAGACAGCRCACAGAAGCACTGCTGTGGTGAGAGGTTTCACTGATAAAGCTGAAACCTTGTTACCAACCCCTCTYGCTCTGCGAGGTGGCTAAGCACAATGTTGATGAAAACGCTCGGTGCTCTCCTCTCCACGTYAGCTCTGATGGCACTAAAGTGCCAAGCAATTGAAATGTCACATGTGGAGACAAACGCAGCCCAGGGCTAYAATGACAGGCACTAACTAAAGTGCCATTAAGTCTTCAGAGCACCTCCTCAGAAATAAAAATCTAAACAATAGCACAGTAAAAATGCCACCGTKCGGTGCAGGAAATGCTAATTCCTGTCCCATTTCATCCAAGTTATCCCCAAAGTGTRTTTTCAAATAGAAATAACAGCATTTACCTTTTTATCACTTCGTTTTCCACCATGGAGCTGTCCACCACGATGATCTGCTCTGGGATTCTCACATTCACAGCCACCAGCCCCAGGGAGAATAGGGAAAGCATGGCCACACACTGGCCACCAGGGCCATCCATGGGAAATGCTACCATGCCTTCAGATGACGCATTTTCTTCATCTTTAAATGAGAAGTTGTGTGGCTGGTCTGATCTTTCAGCATCCTTGAGCTTCTCCAGGAACTGGAAGGACTCTGTACAAATGGTGCTGGGGAACCGCCACGTAAAAACTCTGCACAAAAACCACAAGGCAGCACAAATCCTTCAAAATCTGCTCTTGCTGAGAATGAGTTTCAGACTTATGGTAGCACAAAGGAGCCAAAGTGATGAAGTTTCATGCTAGAGCTGGTGACCAAGTACCTTCCACACCTGCTTCCATAGTCCTTTTACTATTTCCAGAACATTAGATGTTTATGCACTGTGTAAAGTTCAGGCAGAATATAGCAAATAAAAAGCACAGGTATYACCTTCTGCTTCACAGGAGTGCTGAAGGAACCTTCCCACCACACCCTGAACAGTGGTGCTGCCCCACCTCCCTTCCCCATTTGTCACTTAAGTCCTGCCCAGCACCCTTGGCTCCATTCCGTCACTGCCCTGATTGCTCCCCACACAAGGACTGACTGACTGATGTTCACCTTCACCTCSAACGTTCTTTGCCCTGGACACTTCTCATGTGTTGTCACCTCCACACCATGCTTGGGCAGATTTTTTTTCTTTTCTCACAGCCCATCAGCACCCTCCCTGCCTGTCACCCACCTGTAGTAGCTCTGGGACAGATGGTAGGACATGGGCACGAAGGGCAGGGCACGGCTCTTCTTGGGCCCCAGCGTGTGGTTGACCCTGCGCCGGTTCACCAGGCTCCTCTTCTGGCACTCCAGGAACGCCTTCACCAGGATGTCATCGCGGTACTCCTGGTACAGCCGGAACGTCTGCAACACACAGAGTGTCTGCCACACTCACCTGCTGCAGCTCACACTCACCAATTCACRGGGAGCCACAGAGCAGATGAAAATAAAACACACAAATTCACTGAACTGCTCCTCTGTTCCCTTTGTGGCCTTCCAGGCTTTCCAYGGTAAATGCCAATTAAATTAGCTAAATACTACAGAACACTTGATATTCAAAATGAGATCAGGCTCCCACTGGAATTATAGATGTGAAAAATGCTCCTCTGCCACGCATTTTGGTAGGTTGTTCCCATCATTTCAGCAGGAACATGTGGTTCTGGGAGCTTGCATTTCCAGGCTCCACTCTTGCTTGTGAGCAGTTAAACTCCCTTTGAACTGCTGACCTTATTGAAGCACTTGACTGATTGATGATCTCTTTTTGTAGTCCCCAACCTTGAAGGAGRGGCCTCCCAACACCAGTGCCAGCTGGGTTTTAGGGTTGTTTTTGTGGTATCTGCTCCAGAATATTCCAGCTGCTCAAGTTGGCACTAAATCATGGTACAGTTTGACCCACTGGAARGGATGTGGAGCTTATTTCATATGGTTTTGTGGGATTGATGCAACCTCACATCCTCACATCTTGCAATCTCATCCTCAGAGAGAAAACAACAAACTGAACATCTTCCTAAAAAGCAATCAAGAATCTCCCCACAAAACAGATACAAATCCCAGTTTCTGGGTTTCTTTTCTCCCATGTGAAAAAGGAATGTGCCAAGGGAGAGATGAGAAACGTTAGGGTTGTATGACCACATGTGGATGTGGCACTYGGGGACSYGGTTTAGTTCAGTGRYATTTCAGTGCTGGGCTGATGATTAAAGGTCTGTTCCAACCTAAACAATCCCATGATTCTRTGAGCTGTAAAGTTTGGTCCAGACACTGTACCTGAAATGACTGGCAAGATTCCATCTGGTTATCTGAGAGTGCCAGTGTGCTCTGAATCAGATTCTGCAGCACCAGAAAATGAATGTCATAAACACTGAAACAAAACATAACAAAGAAAGAGAAAAACATTTATTCCTGGTGATTTCTGAACATAAGGTACCTACTAAACCAGCACAAAAAYGTACAATCACCTGCTCCTGAAATAGAAGCATAAAGGCACGAGATCCTGCAGCTGAGSATCATTCATGCAAAGGAACCTGTTACATTTTCCCTGACTTTCCACCCTCAATTTTTGCATCAGTCCAGATAATCTGACACAAACAAAGTTCTCTCTGATAACATCTCCTCCCCTTAAGATACAGCACCCACACAGAAAACACACAGCTGTCCCAGTGATAAGAGAACATCATTTTGAGGTCATCACTATTGTAATTTTATCAGAGGTCCCTACAGTCATGCCAAAGTATTTTTCTGTTAATAAACTGATACAGTGCAACAAACAGATGAAAACACTGAATTAGGACACACTTTGTGACTTCCACAGATGGSAGGGGCTGATGTGGCCTGGGAGCCCTAATGAGGAAAATGGTGCCACAGCACTCACCTGCTCAGATTATCCTCTTTTGTGCYTTGATTTGGGTCCTCTCCAATTGCCAGCACTCGAAATCTAGTTAAGGGAAGGGAAAGGAGAACACTGGAACCAGATTTTCCGTGATTTTCTGTGATTTTCTATCAGCCATGAAGCCCAGAGGCTGATGAGCACAACTGCTAACAAGGCAAGTGCTGCACCAGCCCCGGGGACTGTCTGCTCYAGCAGCCCCCAGCACAAGGGTCAGACAGGAAAAGAACTGTCCAGATCAATCTCCACCAAAATATCTGTTGACAAGGAGATAAAACAATGGACAGGAGACAGTCCAGCACTGAAAGGATTTCTCATCTTATTGAGGTTTTGGACTYGCAGTTACCGCCAGCAGCACTTTTGCTGTAATGCACAGCTCTTCCCAAAATAAGAAAAATTACAAAGGTGCTAAATTTATTGTAGTAAAAAGGTCTGAGACACAATTTTTCCACACTGCTCTTCAAGTGTTATTCATCATGAAAAAGTTAACGATCTGGAGAATGCTGTACAAGGCTGAGTGCTCTTCCTTATCAATAGTTATAGCAGCACTGAGGTGATTCAGCTGAGCAACCAGCTACAAATTGTGACAGAAAATGGGGCCAGTTAATCTGGAAAATTCTAAATTTCTATTGCATTGAAAAGTTACACCTGAGTAGCAACATCTCTAACAGCAGAGCTGAGGATATGACAATTTAGGAAAACYTGATATTGTGAATTTCTGGTTTAAAAGTTTTATTTAGCAGTAAAAATGGTTTCAAACAGCAAACTTGTGCAAATAACTGAGAAYCACTTACATGTATTTAGGAAGTATGGATATGAAAGAAACACTGCTTGTTGTATTTAGTAAAACTTTTGACACTGAGTACAAGAACAGAGGGTGTAAATAATGCACAGAGARGAGTTCTGCTGTGAACTGCTCTCTCACTGCCCCAGCCCATGTGCAGAGCCAAAAGCACCATAATTACAATACCTGGAGAASAGCTCCTCCAAAGTGTCAGGAATTTCCAGTTTGGGATTTCCCAGGGTTGAACTGAATTTCTCTTTCAATCTCTCCACAAACTCTTTAAACTCCTTCGCACAAACCTTAGAAAAAAGGAGACAGAAACATCATCAGCCTCAATTCCTTAGAGTGGGAGAAACCCCTCTACTTTTCAAGGGTTCATAGAAATTCTTGTAGAAAGAGCTGGGTTTGAATTATGAAGTCAGAAGCAGTCCAGCAGCTGAGGGAAGGCAGCAAAAAAGCTCRTGCAGTTTGTGTTTGCTGATTCAGWGAACAGTCACAGGTTCCATCTGTGAYGGGCTCACAGCTCCAAGCCAAGCACCATGAACATATGTTCTAAGACAATTTCCTGAATTAACAGCAAGATCTCTATGTTTAAGCTTCTGCTCAAGCCCCTCGGGCTTTTCCATATTCTCTRTTAAGAGAACATGTTCTCTGTTTGCACAACCATGGTTTGGAGAACACCCCTGTCACATGACAGGAATGCTCTCTGGAAACAAGTTTTTATTTCCTTCCAAAGACAGACTTTGGGATGGAGACACATTTATTTATTTCAGTGATGTCTCATCAATGAACAACAACTCCTATTCCTTCAAGTGACATGAATTTAACAACAGAACTGATGGGCTTTTCTGACAATAGTATGAACTGTCATTCCTGGATAAAAATGATCGTGCTGTGACACAGTCACAGTCATGAAAAAATTCTGAAATTCAAAATGGAATTGTTTGCATTGAAAGTGTAAACAACTGTTCAATTTAAAATTATGATGCATTTGAAATTATGATGCATTTGAAATTATGATCTCATTTAAAAAAAAAAAAGAAAGAAAATCTTTTGGCTGCTCAAATTAAGTCTTAAAAAATTTGCTTGCATTCCTACACTCATCCACAGAAGCTAGGACAACATTTCAACACACAACTGGAACAAAAAAATAGAAATTACAGAGCAAAAATGTCTTCTTGCTCAGATTACAGTGAGGCTGAGAGGATAAAAGAASAATCAGCAGACAGAGATGTTTAGTCATGGATGTTGATAAACAAGCACATTGAAAACACAATGGTTGTTGCACAGAAGGCTGTTTATGTGCCTTTGGAAAGCTGCCCTGCGTCCACTCTGCTCCCAAAGCAGCAGTGATGCTGCATTTTTTACAATGATGCTATTTTTAAAATAGCTGAGGGCTCAAGGGAGAGAAAAAAGAAATCACAGTAACTSAAACAGTGCAAGTACGCAGTAATCCAAACAGAGTAAAGTACTCTATGAACTTTCGGAATGCTTTCCTCCTACCTGAGGATCTTCATAATTATTTTCTCTATTCATGAAATCGTCAATGAGGGCTTTATCTTGGTAAACTTCAGCAAGGCAAACTCTACAACAGATACAATGGAAGGAGTTGAAATCTTCTGAGAGCTGAAATCTTAGCTCAATGCAGATCTGACAGCAGCAGGGTAAAAACAAGAGGAAGCCTATGTCACATGACTCAAGAGAAAAATATAAGAGGACCATGTCCCTTCAGGAGAATTCAGCCTATTTCTAGAACATAGAAAACTTCTTACTTGTAATTGAGATAGGTYTGTGGGTTCCTGACAATGTATCGGGCTCTCCGTCCCACGGAATGGGAGGTTTTATCCAGTGACTCCTCGAAGCTGGAGTGCATGAGGTCCCTCACCACCTGCCAGGGCACAAAGGCCCCTTTCACCTGGGGGAGGAACAGAGATATTGCAGTTACAGAAATACCTGCAGTTACAGAAATATCTGCAGTTACAGAGATATCTGCAGTTACAGAGATATGTGCAGTTACACCTCACTGTGCTGTGCACACATGGCACAGAGGCCAGGGCAAACTCCTGGCTGCTGAATTGCAGCACCCAGCACCTCCGTGCCCTGGGGGTGTTGAGCACCTTGGCATTGAGCACGTGGCTGGCAATCCTGCACAGCATGAGCAGGCTGTCCTCCTGCACYGTCCAGGTCACACGCAGCCGGGTCATCCTCAGCAGGGCACTCTGGTCAGCCTTGTCGTGGTAGCGCGGCCGTTTGCTTTTCTCTACAGAATCCTCTTCTGACAAATCCAGGGGRAAAAAAAGAAGACATTTACCTCAGCACTGTGTATTCTGATTAACTCAAACTCTTCTCATGGACTCAGCACTAGTTTGAGTTYGTAAGAATGAGTGACAAGAGCAGGGAAGGAAGCTGCAGTCCAGAAACTGAAATGCACTAATTCCTCTCCCAGGCATGAGAAAACAAACACTTTAATTGGCAAACTGACAACCTAGAGCATCATTCCACGAGGAATCTTTAAGCCAGCTCTCAGGAGCTGATGATGGATTGCAGGGAGCTGCTCTGGCACAGACACCATGAGGATTGCTCCAGYCCCTACAGCCATGGCTCAGAGCTCACAGGCACAGCGTGCTGCTGCTGCTCCCAGGACACCTGAACCTCCTCACCGAGGCACGACCAGAAAGCTGCCCTGTCCCACACCCTCTATCCCAAAGCAGCTTCCAGCAGGCCTAGGCATAGCAAAGAATGCTGCTTTTTCCTGTTTCTTACCTTTCTTTTTCTTCTTTGTTTTCTTTCCAACATCTTTCTTAAGCCTCTTCCTCTTCTGGCTTTTTCCACCCCTCACTCTTTTCGTTCGATCCTGGGTTGGTTCTTTACTTATTTCAATGCATTCTTCTTTCTGGTTAAGTGACTCTGATCCTATCTTTGCTTCTCCCAAAATATTAATTTTGTTACCTAAAATGACACATATTTACTTCMGTTGAGCTTTACAGAAATGACATTCTACAGTGTTAAAGTACAAAGACCAAATGACCAGTTTCAGTAGATTAAAAGACAGATGCCCTCTCAGAATYGCTCTTTGTTAGTCCTGTCATTTCATGCCCCTTCTCAGCAGCTCACAGAATAAATTCCCACATTAATGAGGAATCATCAAGTAATTAAGTCTAGTTTACAGTGCCCAAACACAAGGGAAAAGAGCTGAGGTTTCACATTCAACTTGAAGCATTTTCTCCTCCTTAGCTCAAACATTAGGCTGGATAACAGTACTACAAAACATCAGTCCCTCTGGACTTTCTGTAAACTGCACATCAGAAATTACAAAGGATAGAAATTATTGTTCTATAAGAAGTTATTTACACATCTATTTTACAGCCCCAGAAGTATCCTAGATCATTGTAAGGAGACAGAACCAACCCATATCATCAATACTAGATAAAAAATTATTGTTCCATATAGCCAGTAATAGGGAATGAAATCATTTATCTGTTTTACTGCTCCAGAAGCATCCCAGATTACTGGAAGGATACAAGAATAACCCACACTCTGGGTTTGATAAAAGCAGTGAGAACTGTGGCAGTCTCAGACCTTACCTGCAGTACTGAGAGGCAGGGGGTGTTTGGTTAGGAAGGTTTGGAGTCTCACTGTCAATCCATTTTCAGAACCTGTATTTTCCTAAGACAACACAGCTTTAGAAAAGATGACAYGCAAAAGGGGTGCACCGGTTTTTACAACATTCTAATTTATAATCTTTGAGTAGTRTCAGAAATAAATTTTCAGTTTAAAGGAAAAGATCCCTGGCTACATGAAAGAACTCATTTGTCTTATTACTACCACACATTAGAATGGCTCCAGAGCTTTTCTTAAATCACACTGGAATGACCATTAGATTGTGAAGGTTAGAAATCTCCTCAAGTTTAAAAGCAGTAATTACTGGAAAAGAAATGCTCAATTCTTTCATTGCTACAGAGGCTGAGCAGAATTTGCTGTAAACCAGTGTTTCTTCAACGAATTTCACATTCCAAAGGAACTTATAAAAAGCACAAAACCAAAATACAAACACAACCCCTGAGTAAATGCYTCCTACAGCACATTGTGTCCATGTTAAATCTGAGCCTGAACTAACTGCAATGTATTGGGAGTTTTGCCATTCTCTGCAAAACCCATTTCTCATGTGTGGAGTTCACTGGGGGCAGAAGTTGCTCACAGACATAGGGAGGAAAGAAGAAACTGAAGAACTGCTGGAGGTTGTGCTGATGCTCAACAGTGAGGTGACTGAAGAGCAGACAAAATTAAGAGTGAAATGATCCTGCCTGAGGGAAATAAATTAGCAATTCTAATTCTACAGCCACTGATAGGCTCTGATTTGACCACTGCTTTGGGAAGGGTGTTTACAAGCAGTTCTGTGGAAAGCCCTGTTCAACAGGCCTGGTAATGGTGAAAAAGTGAAGGAAATGTATGGAATTCTTAGGGAAGAAAAAAACCACTAGGCAGCTGTAAAAATCTGTGTTTGGCCACAACCTTAAAACACTCTCAGATTGTWTTTCCACCTCAAAAAGGATAGAGTAGAACTATCACAGAGTAAAATAAAGGCGACAAGAATGATTAARGACAGGATGGTTCCATGCTGGGAATTGTAGATGTCAGTCTTAAGAAAAGGAGATGATAATGAGAAACATGAGAGATGTTTACAACAATCAAGTGAAGCAGCAAGAATAATGGAGAATTTATTTTTCACAGCTTCCCTTAGTACTACAATTATTAGGGAGCTTAAGGCATCAAAAGGAAATGGTGGCACATAAAAGGAATTTGAAACACTTTTCTGCAGAAGATTGGGAATGGTAAAGACTTACATATGCTGAAAAATCAGACAAATTAATGCTTGAAGAAAAAAGCTATTACTGCCTGGAAACATCAGCCCCAGATTTAGAATGGCCTCGAGGCAAACTTGCAGACAGCTGGGAGAGTATCCTGAGGAAATACTGCTTGCTCTCACAACCTGCCATCAGAGACAGGAAATTAGCCAGAATTCGGATTTGCATATTTTCGGCTCCCTATTTTTATTTTTGTTTCTTTCCTTGTGTATTKCCCTGTTCTGGAGGTTTTGCTTTTTGTCTGACAACTTCTACATTCCWGAAAGGCGAGAGGTACTACTGAGTAGTGTGAACTGCTTGCTCACAGAAGTATTTCTCTTTTGGTGGAATGTAGTAACAAATTTACTGTCAAATTCCGTTTTCAGATAAAACTTATGTCAAATTCTTTCATTCACTTCAGCACCAATATTTGTGAACATCTGGCACTCATTTCTTTCCAGTAATGCAAACCCTTACTGAGAACATGCAAACAGTAAGAATTTGGTGTCACTATCTCAACCTTAAGAACATTAAAATTTGGAGAAGCCATTACAATATATAAATTTTAAAATACCCACCTTCCTGGTCTTATTGATGATGTAGCTTGTCCAGATCCAATTGCGTTTCAGATGCCCATAAAAGCTGGAATCCAGACCTGCWGCTCCCAACCCATCTCCAGGGATGGATCCATCATCAACCACCTCTCTGCTGCCTCTGCCAGCAAAAGGAACAAAACCCACAGTAATTATTTTGTACAGGTGTCTTCTCAGTGCTCTGAAGTCTGTGAAACTCTCCCTTGCCCTCCCAATTTAAGGAGTAACGTTACACCATCAATTACATCCCAAAACTGTTTCTGGACTTAAAAGATGTTRCAGTCATCTCCAGCCTAACTGCAAGCAAACACCAGATATCCAATTTAAATGATTTATTGCCATAMAAAGAGACCACATGCAGAAGTTCAAGCAAGGATCAGTGGAACCGGGTTCCTCAACTCCATGATATATTTTTAAGATAACTTAATATATCTACCTGCAACACTGAACTGAAAATACTTTAAAACAGAATGTTTATTGAAACAGAATAGAATATTGAGAGAGCTAAACCCCAGTGCACAACACAATATAAAAGTTTAGCACTGCTGTCACAGGTTGTGAGCACACAACCCTCCCAGGTATTCTGGGTCTCATTAGGCAGAAGATTAAATGCTCCAGGGATCACCTCCAGATCACAGTGCACACCAGCACCACATCAGAAATTAATCTGCAACCAATTACAGCCAAGCAGCACAAAGGGACAGGATTCAGAAGGTGACACTGGGGAGCTACTGAAGCTACTTGAGACACCATGACAGAAAGCACAGGAAAAAGAACTGTTATTATTTCTCACATTCACTGTACTTAGGAAGCATTCCTTCCCTCTCAACTCTGCCTTCCCCAGGACTGTTGCAACACACATYTGTACTACTCTGGAAGGAAAACCAACATGTTTACCCCATCCCTCCAGCAGAACAACCTGCTTGGCAGACAAGTTACTGGGACCATGAACCAGAACTACTCCTCCTTTGGACCAGTTCACCTTTGAACTCCAGAGAACACCCAACTGAGATGCTCAGGTCTTAAGAGCTGTTGCATTGAGTAACATTCTCAGCTCCAGAACAGTTTTTGACTCTCTATTCAAGCAGGGTGTGAGGTGACCTACGTGGTGTATTCCAGCATGGCACACTTGCGTTCCAGGTTGTGTTTGTTCACTGCTGACTCCTGCTCCTTTTCCACATCCAGAGCAGTCTCCTCCCCTGGAAGGTTGCTCTTCTTGGTCCGAGGACAGCGAACAACTCCTGGACACACAAAGGGGTTTCACTCTCAGTGTCACAAGTCAGAATTCAGCCCATCTTCAATCCATCCTGCTCTACCAACTACTGCTCCCAAACAGTTCTAACATTCTTAGCCTTTCTCAAGACATTCTTCTCACAGAGAAAGGCTACTGATTTCTAACAGGGCAGCAGGGCTTTGCCATTAACACTGCTCTGAGAATTTGAAGTGCATCACAACTTCACAGAATTTTAAGGATACAGCTCCCAGCTTTTTTTTTTTTTGATGCACAGGGCAACCTTCCAAAACACTGGAAGTGACAAACTGGAGAGCTGGGCTCTAGTTTCAGGACAGAAGGAAGGGCCAGTGAAGGTGCTCAGAAGGTGAAATTGTGCCGTACCCAGGGGTGTGTTGAGGCAGACACACTGCAGGTCAAACCAGAAGTTCTCCACGTCCTGCAGGGTGTTGAGCACGTACCAGCGCCGCTCGAAGGGGCGGCTGCTCTGGGCCAGGTTGTAGTGCAGGTCACAGATGGTGGTGTCCACAATCACAGCATTTCTCTTCATGTACACAAACACCTGCCAGACACAGCACAGCTCAGGCTGGAGGCAAACACCAGTGGAACTGCCTGAGCAGCAGGACACACCAGCTGGCTCAGGACTGGACAGTTTCTCTTTGCTGTTTTTGAACCACTGCTCTGATAGAGGCCWCACCCATTCCCACACTGTTGCACTGTACTCCCAAATTCCCTGGACAGCAATCTAGAGATTTCCTTTGTAGATTTAGAACARTTTCTTTATGCCCTTGTGCACAGGATATTCCGAGTTTCCACACAGAGTGGTTATTTCCTACAAGTCCTCACTCAGGATTTGAATAGCTGTGTTTGGGCCCTTATTACCTCTCTTACCCTTACAAAGCTTTCTCCTTTGCAGGTGCTCTCTTTAAAAAAAGATGCACATGAATGYCATTATTTTACTCTAATCAGTGCCTTTATTCTGTGTCAGATATCCAAGCTTAACATTTTGATGGAAAAGAATGTGTCACACTCATTTTTCATTAAGTCTTGCCAGTCTGGAACCTCCTGGATCATTATTGTGTGCAGTGCTCAACATTGCATATTTGAGTAGTTCCCTTCCAGAGAAAGGTGAAAAATTATCTCTACATCTTACACTGGCACGTGCATCCAGAGGTTTGCACATACATCTGAAACATCAGTATTTTGTTTAAGGTCATTATGAACCCCAAATCTTGAAAAATTCATGAAGAGCAACGGATTTTTAATTTTTTTTTACCTGGTCTTTGTCTTGGAACTTCTCTGTCGGGCCAAACTGCAGCAGTCCCATGTAACATAATCTTTGAAGGTTTTCTACCACTGAGAAGATGTACCTCCTGCAGCAATGTGAGCATGTTACAATMAGCACTAATGAAAACAGGAAAAATGATAGCAGAAAATACAACATTTTCATGCAGCAACCTGAATTTTCAGCAAACTACCCAGTTGTAGAATTTCTGAAGTGGTATTCTTGCTTGAATTTGCTGTGGAAAACATATAATACCTCAAAGGTCCAAATTWCCTTTCCTCAAATCACAAAACCAATATTTCAGCCAAATACAAAGTAAAATTTTGCAGGCAAAAATGAAAATCAGGCAGAAATAACATGCAACAATGAATGAAACATGGTCAGAACAACAACAGGTCTACAGACAATTTCATCTTATATAAAGAAGAAGGAGTAAGAAAACATGACTGCTAAATACAGGGCTTTTTATGTGTATATATGAAAAACTGGGCAATGATTCTTGCAGTTCGGATTGTTTAAAATTCCTGCTCCAAGAAACTGCTCTCAGTTGCTTTAAGTTTCAGCAGAGCAAGAAGTGCAACATTTCCCATCCTGCATATCTACAACTRTGGCAAAATTCTGGCAGCTGCAGGAACCTTCTGCAAGATTCAGTTTCTGAGACAGTTTGTAAAAAATTAGCTTTGCCCACGTTTAACTTCACTAAGATCTAATTAAATGCAGTTAAATGAGAGTTGGATTTTGGCAGGAGTTTTCTCTGGAGGTCAGAAAGATCAAGCCTAGAAATTTGGCTCAGTTAGAGGTTTTAGTGAATGGAGAGGGAAGAGACAGCTTGATTATGTGTCATTTTATTTTGCATTGACCCATCAGATGGAGCCTGCAGATTTCCAAAAATACCATGAATCAAATTTCCTCATTTTTAAGATTTAGCAATAGATTGGAATTGCAAACCTGAGCTCCCCACGAGTCCTGGCAGCTAATACTGCCCAGCCCCATTCTCTCACTAAAGGCACATTTGCAGATKAGGAAAATGTCATATAAACCTCCAACCATTCACAAACTGTCAGCAATGACTTTCTGGGAAAAACTAAAGTGGTGCTCTTGATTGCATACATTCAAATTGCTTTCCTTTCTTCAGTCCAACCTCAAGTTTTACATCTCCTGGATGAAAAATGGCAAAACATGCCATGGAAAGCATGAGGAGAAACTGAATGGTKTGTGTGAGAGGCAGGAACTAGGAAATGTGGCACCTTTGGAAAGATTTATGAAGGACAGCAACACTTAGATCCTATTAAATTCTGAATTTAGCAGCAGTCAGGAGTGTGTTTTATATAGAAGCAACATCCTGCTGATGAGTTATGAAGGACAGAACCTCCCAGCTCTCAAGCACTGCCTGACAGCATACATGAATATTGTTTATTAGTTTCTTATTACCTTCTATTTGGGAGAGAAAAATACAGTTTGGCACRCTATCCTTTGAGGATTGATGATCCCTGTCTTAAGTGCCAAAGTTCTCTTTGACACACACGGGGATAACTGAGAAAACAATCAGCCACTGCTGGTTCCTCTCTAGAGCCACTTATTTTGACTCATCTGCTTACCTTTTGTAGAGGAGCTGCTGTCGGATTGGCCTTGGAAGGAATCTGATCAGAGTGTGCTTTTTCAGTGGATCATTTAAAAATTCCTCCAGACCTTCCACCTAGAATTACTTTAGAAGTTAATCAAAATGCAAAAKGTAACTATCCCCTAAAGTATAAAGCTTTGCTACCAGAACTGCCTACTAAAATATTTTCTAAGCAAACCTTACTGCTTTTGTAAAGTGCTTCAACATTATTCTTGTTAATCAATGAGGCAGAAGATTCAGTGAGATTATAAAAAGCTCTTGGCAAAACAGTAGCTTAAGAATTTGCAGCATTACATGGCTGTACATTTTTTTTCAGTATGTCTCTGAAAGCAACTACTTTTTCTGTAGGAGACTGAAATGTCTCCTCTCCTCTCCAGGGTCTGGTTTTGTAAAGAACAGATTGAGRGGATATTTGTTCCAGCCTATAGGTACAGCTGACATCATCAGACTTTGAARGAAAACAAAAAAGCACCGTACCTTGTAGCTGACTTGTATGATCTGAACAAAGACTGAGAGAGGCAAGCAGAGAAGGATGTCACTGACAAGAGCCCATCCAAACCCCAACTCCCTGTGGACTGGCAGAGGAGGGATGTAGCGCATCCAGGACGTGTCATCCACRTACACTGCAACAAGAACACTGCCTCACACACAGCACTTCCACCAAGAGCTTCACTGTGAGTGCTCAAGGAGAGCACAYTGGCAATCCACAGGCTGAAAATCTAAAATAATCCACAAATTCTCTAAACCAGTGRTTTTCAAACCTTTCTGAAACAGACTTTTATCCATTTCTCAGTGCTGAACCAWKGCAAAGTCTGTGCTAAAGTCAGGATGTGCCATTTCTCACCTGTTTGATTAGACAGATCTATTTCAGTCTCCTGTGCAGAGGTCTCAGGATTCACCACACTTGTCACAATTTCTAAGGTCCCATCTGGTTGTGCTTCAATTATAGCTGCATTCTCATCCAGCCCTTGTTTCTTCTCAYCATCACTACCTCCTTTTCGCCGTGCTTCATTTAAAGGGTGGCCATAAATTAAGTACCAGAGGAACATGTGGACCATTCTTAAACGGGGCATTTTGGGAAGAAAGCCAAGGGAACGTCCAAGTCCTGGAACTGGAAGKGAAGATTAAGGGCCAAATAGAAATACAGGATTAGAGCAGGAGAAACAGCTCCCTGGGCAAAACTAATGTGAAGAAAACAGGAAGGAAAGATGGGCAGTTGAAAGTAAATATAAGTTATAAGTAGTGAAGAAGCAGTTCACTACTTATAACAGTAGAATAACAGAACTTATAACAGTAGTTATAAGCAGTGAATAGAAATACTCCAGTTCACAATTGTAAAAAAACATAAGCAGCTAAGAAAACATCAGTAATAGGGGATATTGGTTTAATGTAAATCTACTTTTATTTCTACAGAAGAAGAAAAAACACACTTGTATCTCAGCAGGAGTAAGGATCTGAAAATTATTATTCATAAGTGGCAAAGTGAAGGATGACAGCAAACCCAAAGCTGGCTGTACCTGTAACAGGGTGATAGTTCTTTAGCTGTGTTACGCCCATCTTTTCATCAGTTTTTCCTGCCTGACTATTATCAGCTTTACATGAACTTTCTTGTGTTTTTCCATGATCAGAAACTGCCTCTTGTCCCTGGTTTTCTTCATCACCATGGTCCTGGGATGTTGGTGTCTGGGGAACTTTAATCCTGTAGTAAAACCACACAGCACTTTGACAAAAATAAACAGARTTCAGTTGTTGTTCTTCCCTGCCTTCAGGGGGCAGGGAAGGCTCAGTTTGTGCTTCCATTTCTCTATTGCTAAAGAAGAGGTTGGTTGTTTTTTTTGTTTTTTTTTTTTCCTTACCTTGTGTTTATTTTCTCTGCATCTTTTTGCACATCCCAGATAAGCCAAGCCCCCCTCAGACCATCCCAGCCATCCCTGAGACTTGCCTGTTTGCAGTGCTGGAGTTGGAGATGCGGAACCGCACCTGCTCAATGGCGCTTTTCACCAGGGGATCGCTTGGGCTCACCGAGGGGTGCACAACAAACTCCACCTGCTCAGAGCAGCAGAACGCAAACAAAAGGTGTTTATGGAGATACTGGCTCTTCATCAGCTGCATAAATTATYCCAGATTAACATTTAATTAGCAGTAGCCACAATGGATGTATCCTATGAAGGTTTAACAATTCACAGAACATGAATGAAAACTCCTGTTGCTACTTTAAGCAAGAGGTCAAAGCACATAGTCTTTGTACCAATAAACTGATAATGACATTTCTACAAACCTCAGGGTTTTTGGGTTTTTAAACCCTGAAATATCTGYGAAACAGATACTTTGACTTGTAAATATTAGGCTGAGAGGGATAAATGAAAAGTCACAYCCTGTTAGGCCAAACTCACACACATTGTTGCTGAAAGCACACACACAGTTCAGACTAGTAAGATTTTGTATATGATCTACACTAATTATGCAGCAGGTAATTTTCAGTGGATTCAATTCCCTGCTCATGAGCATTTCACACTAGAGTAAGTGACAAGTCTCAGCTATACAACCACAGGTATTTGACTGTCATAAACCTCACTAACAGTGGCTTTTTGTACTAAAAAAAAAGATCACATTCAGAAGCTCACTTWGGATTTTTCATACACTCTCGGCTTTCAAAAGGGGTTTAAATAGAATTATAGTGCAGCCTGACAGTGCAGGGAGARAACCATGAATCACAGACCTGATAAGCAGCAGAATCTCTTGGAAAGGAGATTCAGCGTCTGTGATCTCTGGCCTATGCCTTGGTCTCAATTATCTGCAGCACACTAATGGAAAGCAATGATCTGGTTCTCACAGTAGCTTTGTTTGACTTGAAGCTTCTGGGTAGAGCTCCAGTGTGGGTTCTGCTGCAGGAGTGAAGTCACCCATGCACTCCAGCCCAAAGGGCACTGTGATAAATCAGGAGGGTGTGTGTGTGCAGTCACCTTCTTGCTGATGCCATCCTGGATGACCGTGGTGCGGTAGAGCCTGAGGAGCCCCTCCCGTGCCAGCCTCTGCACCAGCCGCACKATGGACTTCTTGCAGCACTTGGTGGAGACACCTTCTTGCTTCTCTTGATCCATGACCATCTTCTGAAGTCTAAAAGATGCCAAAAATACCTTTAAGCCCAGCAATGTTCCAGCTGCCTAAGCAGTTTGTTAGAGGATGTGGTGTGAATGGCATTTTCTTTCCCTACTTTCAACAGCCCCTGCTCTTTTCCCTTTCGCCAGAGACAACTGGGAACTTTGCTCTACMTTTCAGCTCTATTTTCTTTGTATTCAAGCTTTTTCTTGTTAGGGGAGAGCTGCTGTTCAGATGACAGCGAATTCTCAATGCCTGATTTCTCTGTGCATGACTACAGTGCAATTATGAATCCTCCCTGAGGTCAGAAGAACCTACAGCTCATTTAGGTGGTGATTTAACAAAAGCAGTCTGTTCGTGCAGTTGTGAGCTCAGTTCAGCTCCAGGCAGAARGGGTTTATTCTGTGGTTTCAGAGCTCAGGCACTGCTCCTGCATTCACAACATAGATACAGRCACACATATCCCACCACTGGAAGCCAGCTCCCCTCTCCCTTGCAGGGGTGTGCTCATATCCTACTCTCCCCATGCCTGTTCCCATGCCCCCTCCCACAAATGCCCCAGGCCCTAACTTCGGACTCTTTCAATCCTGGGGCATCAATTCTGAAAAAAAACCTGGAAGGTAATTAAGGAAATGAGGCAATAACTGAATGTGCACGGACTTCAGCTTTCCCAAAAGACTACCACATCCTGGTAATTAACAAATGGAATGCAAAGACCAGTAAATTTTCTTGGCAGAGACCGGGGAGTGACAGAACTTCCAMTGATTCTGAGGGAACCTGTGAGCAACCTGTTGGCAGCACTGAAGGGACAGCAGAGACCTGAAATGTCTTTAAGGCCTTCACTTGGATGTGACTCAATCAATCACTGATGAGGTTGGTGCCAGATGAGGCACTAATTTTATAACACCCTGCAATTAAACAAGGTGACAGAAGGTTTCCAAATTCTCAGACCGGAGGAGAATAAAGCCATGATTTCTTACTAAATTCATGTAGCAAGCAACCCTGGGTATACTGACATGCCAGGATCTTCTGTGCTGACATAAAGATGGATGGTGCAATCCTATTTGTGACAAGATAGCACTGCCAATTTGGGATCCAGCAGAGCATCAGAATTTCCATTTATTTTTGAAGGGGAAATCTTAAAAGGCTGAAAGACACTGTAATATTTAGGGAAGGATCTTCAGCTCAGATAAGGTGTCAGGAGAAAACACATAACCACACCACATCAAACTGCACAGAAAAAAGCAAACTTTGGGGGCCCTGCTAGGATGCAGCGACCAGTGATGAGCGATATAAAGACCTGAATCTCTACAGACCATGACAGAAAAACACAGGAATATTTTCTGAAACCATGCAGAGATAAAACCAATGCAGATGAAGGAATCCTCYAGCAGGGAAGTACCTTACAATGTGGCCCCAAGTCTGGCATACCATGAATGGATAAACAAGTTCTCTGACCTCTATTTATGGGACATACACYGTGTAAAAGCTCTTGTGAAATTATCTGCATGCAACTACTGTTGCTCCCAAACAGCTGCTTAAGATTCGAGCCCTCACACCTTCCGTGTGCCATGCTCTCCATCCTCACAGCAATGGTGGCAAGCAAAGGCAGAATGGAGCAGGCCCACAGTGCCCCCAGCACCCAMAGCCCCGGGCTCACGTGAAGAGGCTCTCGATGAGGCGCAGGTTGCGCACGGCCTCCACGATGAGGTTGCGGCGTTTCAGCAGCCTGTAGGTCTCGTGGGGCCTCTCCACCGCCGCCGCCTTGGAACGCTTCTCCTTCCGGTGGCCACACGGCTTCTGGGGCAAATCAAAATGGGACATCAGCCAGCCCACGGCTGCAGCCTAGCTGGGCTCCTCACACAGTAACAGCTGGCCAATTGACCATAAATTTGGATAGATTTGTTTCTAACACGCTACTCAGATGAAGATTCTCTCTTACCTGCCCTTCCCAGGAAGGCAGACAGAGCAGATGAAAAGCAGCACTTGTGTGCTACAGTAAGTAATGACGGGCATTAAGTCAACACAGAGAATCTGGAGAGCACTAGGGAACTAACCCACAACTGTGTTTTGGATATTGACCTTCCTATCTCCTGGAATAATTCTCACTTACAACTACAGCACACGGAGCCAAAATATCAATGTACTTTGAAAAGAATTTTAAAAAAACCCAAACAATTTGAGAAATAAATACAAAAGCTCTAGTCTGAAGTCTTGCTATAAGAGCACGTAACTCAGYTCAGACAGCCATACCAAGGAGAAAAACTAAAGACCTGTGATCRTACCTTAGGATCTTCAAGTCTCACTTCCTCCACCACAGCCACACCTCCATCTTCATCAGTGGGATGAGCACAGTTGGAAACACTGGACTCCTGCTTTTGGGCTCCCGAAGTAGAACTCTCCCCTGAAATGTTGTCTGGGAGCTCCTCAGGATCTTCAAGAATCWGAGGGGAAGGCTGCTTCTTCCTCTGAGACTTCACAGCTGTTGGCTTTGAGACTGATTTGAGGACAAAAAGCCTTGTAATTGTTCTGCTCTCCCTGTTCAGCTTTTCTCTCTCACAGGCATTCCCCATCCACCCAGGTAGCTGCACTTAAAAGCCTTTTGCTACACTTTTCACATATTCTGCCCTGCTGGAAGCAGTGGTTTGACCATGAAAGACTGCATTCAGCCTCCAAAAGTAAAGTTAAAAAAGAAGTGAACTCTCTGTCATCAAATAATTCTCCCCATGCAGCAGCCTTTTCACAGCTTGGAAAGTCATGAAGGGCTTATCCAGACACTGGATAGAAAGGAGAGTTTCTGTCCCAAAGATTCTCAAGTTCTGCCARAAACCTGACTTCTCTGACTCAAAGCAGAATGAGAAGAAGAATTGAGTATTACTCCAAAGGTAATCTACATAGGGAAACAGAGACCTCTTCTCCTCTCTTCCCTTGGAGTTTATCAGAGAAGTTGTAGGAACATTTAAATAGATAAAAAAAAATCAGTTAAAAAAACCCTACTATACCTTTTTTTAAAATCTGTCCCCAAAAAGGTGGTAGCTTTCACACTCAGATGTTCCAAATAATGAAAGAAAAAACTGAGGTAATTAAATTCAGGGGACATGGTATTTTTGTTACAAAATGCTCAGGTGAATAAGGCTGTGGGTCAAGTCACCCCAGCCATGAATATCCAAGGACTGTGAACTCATTTCCTTTTGCACAGGGAAAAGGGGACACATGGCATGGGGTCAGGAGAGGCAGCACAAACCCTACTTGGCACACAAGCACCAGGGCACCCTTCAACCCTGAGAATCTCCAGAGGTTACCACACTTAAGTGTTCCACACCATAACCATTTGGAGGGAAAGCGAAATAATCAAATAGGCTTAAAATTATTATGTTACCAAAAACCATAATGGAAGCTAATAACATGTTATTTTTTTTTCTTCAATAAAAAGAGTAATAAGAAAAATGTAGATTGTTCTCCARGTTTCAGAATTTACCTTTGGCTGGTGTTGCCTGCTGGGCATCATCTCGGCCACTTGATTTCAACGAAGAACCAGAGTTGGCCTTGTGACCTTTTCCTCTCTTCTTCCTGCCCTTCCCTTCTTCCTCATTGTCAGACTCTGAGGCCACAGGCTCATCATCTCCAGGAGACACATCTTCCACAGCTGGGGAATCTTCTGGCACCAGAGCCAAAGTAACGGTGGCCAGCTGCTCACTCCTGGCCTTCTCCCTCTCAAACTGACGGTTTAAATCACTTTCCTCTGCAAAAATGTATGAAATGTACTTTGTTGTCCTTTGCCGACCTTCATCCTCCATAAAACCCTAAAGAAACAGTTGGAATGTTATTTTAMCACCATTCCTGCATTTTCTCCAGCATCAACAGTGGGAAAATTTTCTAACTGTTCTTCGCCCACATCAAAAGAGATCATGTTATTCTTTCTTTCCAAATAACAAAAATGCCCCTAACCTTAACACAGAGAAATCAAAAGAGATTCTGTKCCTGAAAAACAAATAAATCTGCATTACCAGTGTACTAGAACGAACCTCCTACAGTATGTGGGATGGAGAAAAGTCTTAAGGAAGAACAAACTGTGTGTATTCAGAGTGGAAATCAATTTTTTTCAKAACAAAAATGTTTGTGAAACAACTGCACTGCAGAAGTTGTCCAAGTGACTCAGACTTCAGTGGAAATGCTKCTGYCCTGTCTGCTCCAACAGGTGCCTTSAAGGATCTACAAACTCAAATATTTCACCAATCAATAAGGGAGGATTTCATCTCCACAGCTGACAAGGGGAAAAATATATATAGATATTCCAATGGTTTATACAGTTTGTTTTTAACTCTACAGAACTTTTTAACAAATGACAAGATTTTTCTAAAAAAATTCTCCATTGAGGGAAGAAGGCAATTATCCTATCTTTGTGAAAAGGCACAGTTGGATGCATGCAAGAAATGACAGCTGGCKTTGTCTTGTGAAATGAAAAAAATATTGAAATATCTGGAAATAAGAAGTTTAATATTGTAATTCCTAGAGAAGTAACTGTTTTGCTCCAGAATTCACCGGTATTTTCAAAATGCAAGCAGATTAATGATTTTACATGGACAGAGGGTCTTTGAGAAGACCCTTCAGTCTTCTGATTAGAKTAGGTTACAATCCTAATATTTAATGAACCCTTGCCTTACACACCTTTCAATCACCTGAGTTCATATCCTTTTCAATCTTACCAGGACTCTCCCACTGTCATTCTCAAATCATTGCTATCTCTGAAGTTTGAGGTTGATAACATACTCCCACAGTAACCACAGTCCTATTTTCACTTTCAACAAGTATTTCAATCATTTTATTTTAACCTTACCTTGACAACTTTGTACCTGTCCAGAAGACGACACAACATCCTTGCTTCCAGCTTCCCCACATTCATTGCCATGCGAATTTCTGCCTGAGAAATACCTTTGGTTCCTCTACTTTCAACTGTTGTAGAAAGAAAAAACAAAAAATATCTCAGGGAAGTAATCTGACTGAATTATTCATATACTGAATGCTTTTGGCTTTCAGCACAGTTTGAACCATGACATTTATATATATATATATATATATAATTCTATATACATGAATGTTTCTCTGAACAACAGTATATGCCAGAATATTAAATTTAAGATACCCCACTAACAAAAGACATATTAAATTTAAGATACCCCACTAACAAAAGACATATTCAATTTAAGATACCTCACTAACAAAAGACATTTTCACATACATATAAAATACTCAGCCAAATACTGTCATAAACCACAATTTTACATGAAGCAGAATGAAGTTTGGAGGTGATAGTTTCAAATTAGAAGCAGGGGTGACTTTTCCCCTGGCAGCTTTCCACAGTTAGATATTAATTTCTCCATTTGGAAAAGAAAGGAGACAGGAGAATAAGGAACACTGTTTCTCTGTTTCTTCATCATCTTTTTCCATTCCATCCTAACATCCTGTTTCTGCTGGGTGGTACTGAATAGTTGCTAAGTTTCCAGGAAGGGTTAACAGGTGGCAGCACCTCCAGTCTAATCTGGACATAAAGCTCATTTTGCTATGAAAAATTGACACTCTGAYACAAAAGCCACCAGAATGTAAAAACTCCTGCAATAAATACATTTTTTTATACTACAAGGAGTAAAAACGTAATGGGAAAAGTCTTCAGATGCCTTACATCACCTACTTAGCTGATAAGCCTGGGTGAGCATATCCCTTTCACAAACAATATCCACAGGCTGAACAACTTTTGTGATGATCTCTTCATCATCATCATGATAATCTTCCATTTTCTTCYGAAATTCCTTCAGCAGTTTAAGGCAACGGACCATGACATCAGTCCCTGTGAAAAATGAGTGTCAGTAACAACTCCTAACAAAAATCAGGGGGTGTGCAGAGGTTTAAACCATTTTCTTTCAGCAGCATGAAGCAGCAGTGCAATGGGGAGCAAATGACTAAAGACAAGGGGGTATTTCTAGGAAAGGTTTGCAACAGCTTTTCCCTGTGTATGAATATGACAATCAGCTGGATTTCTGAGCTGGTCTACACCTTCACATCTGTGCCAGTGTTAGGACTGCCCAGTAGGAGAAACTTCAACAGCACAAATAAATCCATGAAGGGATTAAGTGCTGATGCCTGGAATTACATTTGCAGAACACATATTTGACTGGGAGATCASTCACTGGGCAAGAACCCATTCCTGTTTACAAGGACAGAACACACTGCTGCCCACCAGCCACAAGACTCTTGTAGATTATTTAACTCCACATTTTAGGATGTTACTGTCCAGCAGCTGTGCTGTGATAACTCTCCACTCACTGGACCTCACAGCAAAGGGTAGAGTGAGGACAGATGGCAGCAGGAAAGCTGAGATCCTGCTCCCTGCTGAAGGATGATCTGCTCTCATTGGTGTCACTGAGCTCCTGCTGRACCATTTCAGAGCACTGGTAACCAGAACTGGGTTACTGAACCCTGCCAGCTTAGCAAGTTGCAGTGAATCAGCAGCTGCTGCAGCAATGGGTGGAACATTTGCAGCCATCCCTGCCCCTCWGCTACAGCCTGCTGTGAAAATGCCAGGTGAAGGCTTTGGTTGAAATCACGAAGGGTTCTGCTGATAGATTTTATCTTGTGTTTACATATCTGAGCAGTTACTGATGCCCAGCTGACATGAAGTTAACCCCCAGTCACTTGACCATGTGATTGTACTCCAGGCCAGATGATTCCATTATTTTCCCTCGACCCGAATCCTTTCCCTAGGATGCTGCTTAGGATTTAAGTGTTGACATTCTGGTAGGGTTGTACACTTCATATCCTTTGTATTMTATCTTTTGTATTTCTACAGCCCATTAATTTTCATTGGAAGCAGGATTTTAAAAATCAAACAAAAAACCCCCACCAAAAAAAATCCCCCCAAACAAACCAATTCCTTTTCCTTTAGCTCCTGCTGCCCCATAATGTTCTTCCTGTAGCAGATGCTCTGGCTTCATCCTCAGTGTGTCCCACATATTTCTATCTTCTTTCCTGTGTAACTCCAGAGATTAAACTATCTTGATCTCTGCTGAAAATCAGCTATTATTAATTCATCCTCCTTTAATACGTAGTGTTTTAAAGGCATTTTTGGGGATTTTCAGCTTTTACGACTGTAAGATGGAATTACCATTCAAGTGAAAGGTTCATCAAGTGGCATTTTTCACAACAAACCTAAGCAGTAAATGCAGCTGCTGTTCTGCCAATCTCTGACAGAGCATGAAACACCACTGCCTTGGGGGCTGCCAGCAAGTTTATAAGTGATCTTGTATTTTCTTGTTTTCTAAGTAAATACTTCAATTAGAAGTTAAATGTTTTTACTACTGACTATAAACTAGCTTTTAGGAGTGCTGTCTAGACTTTTGGGGTTTATTTCCAATGCTTGCAGCTCATTAGAAAATCCCTGAAACCCCTGGGTCATTTCTCTCTGAGCCATGCTTGATGCTGTACCTACTTTTGCCCTCTGCTTCTCTTTGTTCAGAATACAGTTTCTCTACAGAGAATTTCCTTTCCCTGATTTAAAAGATTTGAAGGAATTTGTCTTATCAAGAGCTTTAATCCTACTCCATGTAATTGGCACTCTGTCTTCTGGAATTGTACTTGGTTTTATTGGTTCTTTCACTTGTTCCTTCAAGATCACTCCTATTCACAAAGACTATGTAATTTGCAATGTTTAGTTCATATCAGATTTTTTTTTCCACAACAGTTCATTATATCTCTAAAGAAGATACTGTTCATCCTTCAGAACCATTTTTTTTAACCCTGCAAATCTGCCTCTTAGGATTTTCTGTGATTAAGGATTTAGTTTAGATTTCCTTCAGGAATTGCATTAATTCCATTGGTGGTACTATCCTTCCTCATCCTTCCCATTATTATTTCTTGTAGTTTTTTCCCCATGCAACTTTTATCTCCATCCTTTACTTAGAGCAGTTGCTTTCTTTTGTTCCCTTTCCTCAAGCAGTTCTGCTCTTCTTTGTTTTTCCACTACAAGTTTGGAAATCATCAGCAGTTCCTGTGAACCAATCAAATTAGAATTCAAAGCTGGTTATGCATTAAACCACCCCTCAGCAGACTGTGGCTTTTTGGACAGCAGTTGCTGGGTATCTCTTACTTGACCTCTGAGATCAGCTCACTTGGTGAGAGCATGGAGCTGATAATGCCAAGGGTGTGGGTCTGATCCCTCTACAGGCCTTTCTCTTAAGAGTGGGACTCAATGATCCTTGGAGGTCCCTTCAAACTCAAAATATTCTGTGTTGTGTGAATTCCAAGTGCTGAAAGACCTTATTTCCATAATTTGATATGAAACTTTCCAGAGAAACTTTGCATTCTCATGGAATTTTCAGCACTCTCATTTTCAGGAAAARTCATAAGCAAGAACGCTCTGGTTTTTAACTTATTTCATAATGATCCTTCTTTTTGTATTTTTTTCAAGTTCATTGACTTGTCATTTAACTTCAATCTGAAAGGTCAGCAGACTGTTTTGTTTCTACTCTCTGTATTGGCTTAAGCAGTCCTACTAGGTCATAACCCACACTTTATCCAACAAATTTGACTGCATCCATTCCTTAAAAATCTGTAACAAATGCTTAATTCAGGTGGGCTGTAGCATTTTAGCTTTATACATATTTATCCACGTAATTGCAGGGACAGATTTTTACTTACACCCTTTTTAATTTAAGGTATGAAGCTTATATAGAATAACATCAATGTAATTACATAAAAAGAGCAAAACCATGGTTCCAGTCACCTTTCTTTGTCTTGTAGGGTCCTCCATTGGGGTTTATGTGTTGCAATGGGACAGACACAACTTTGGCCAGACCAGCATTCATCATGTACTGATAGAGACGTTTGAAGGTTTTCTCACAAAGACCCTAATGCAAAGAGAAATGGCAAAAGTCACTGCAGCCCAAAAGCTTCACCTGCTGCTGATTGGTATCAAAGGCATTCACACCACCTGTTCTTCCAATATGGTATTTTGGGGCAGGATATCCATCAGGAACTTAAAATCCTCTAAGTGCAGGCAGAACCTGAGATGGTCCTTGAGGCTGTTGTATCCCTCTAACTCTGCCATCCACACACACAGCAACATTGCAAAATTAAGAATTGCATGATGACACCCGTTGRCAAAACATTTCTGAAGCTGTGGCTGGAACACAACTCCTTCCCTATGATAAACACCAACACCAACTTGATGTGGATCCTTCTTTTGATATCCTACCCCAGAATGTTGTGCAACTTTAGGAGCAGGGAGTATGAATGARCGCCTTTGATACTAATCATCCAGATTCTACTGAGTGAGAATTTGAAAGAGTRATGAATCTCACCAATTCTTCCCTCAAGTTTCCTAATGTTTCCATCTGGTTTGAACGAGTACTTAGCATACTTGAGAGCTTCTCCATCAGAATATCATATTTGCTCCTCCTAACCAAAAAAGAGAATTATTTTACATGTAAGCATGCATATAATTTCATAAACACAAGTGGTAGCTTTAGAAACTGTCAGTCACTAGAGAAAGTATGCTAAGTGTTCTCAGACTGGTTTAGGAATTCTAGGTTTCTTTTCTGCCTGTGAATAGCACATGAGATAATTTGTCTCTAAGAAAAGATCTCAAAAGAGGCAACAATGACTAAGCCCAAGCTGTTACTTCACAGAAGCACAAGTTCTAATCATATACAAGATAGGAAAACAAAACAAAAGTCCTACTAGAAATGACTTTAAGTGAAAATACTCAAAATTAACAGAATGATTAGTGCTACAAAAAGAAGAGTTATCTCTATGTAGGCATGTGACAGGCACTACAGTACCCTGTTTACAGCTCTAAGACAAATTTTAAACTGTTCGACATTTGGAAGAGCAGTTACTAATGAAATTGGAAAGAGTCAATTCCAGGAAACTTTGATGGCTCTGTGACAACAGAACAATCTCTCATCATAGTAAAAGGTCACAGTGTACCCCTGGGACCTTGAAAGCATACCTATCAACATGGAAGCGAGTCAGAAGGAGCAGAATTGAGTGCTGCTGGGCTCCGCTTGGCAGTCGGATGACGTGGGACTGCATCGTTATCAGACCATTTCTGTCCAATACTCTCCTGTGATAATGAAGTTTCCCAGCATCCACTCTAAAAGAAAAGATGACAAGATATCCATAGGAATAGGAACTTCTGAGAACAAATTCTAATTATCCAGTACCCGGAACACTTTAYCTGTATTACCTATGCCCTTAGCGACTGATGCTGATTTTCAAAGTGACAAACTCAAAATTAGGAAGTGCCTAACTTAGGAAAACCTGTGAAATCTATTTTCATAGTCAATCCAATTAAACAGAGAAATATCTCTGATTTTAACCTAGAGCACAGAGTGTCATGACATGGTTTGCTGAGGGAGTTGAATCAGCATTTTATCCCCATGCCCTCCTTTTCCATCAGCTCTCTTTAACTCGTGGCTACGCTGAAATCACTGCCCTCCTTGGAACAGCTCTGGTATTTATATTCCTCCTTAGTTGTGAGTTGACTTAGGCCACCAAACTGATAGAAAAGCATCCATAAATGTTTTCCCCTCTGTCCCCATCATCTCAGTTACCTACAAGAGCTTCCTAAGTGGCAAAAAACAACGCTAGGTGGTTTGCAAGCTACAGCCCATTCATGCCCTAAAAGCACTGAATCCTTAGAGCAATGCTGATATTCTCCAGAACTTCAAAACACATCCAGAAGTTCCCTAAGTAGTTGTATAAAGMTCCTCTATCAACAAAGTACGTGGTATAGTTTGGGAGCTGGCAACTCAGGCTCTTACTCAATGGAGGATATGTCACACAGGGAAATGCTGTGGACAAAAGGTGGCCATCCAAGAATCCCTTCAGAACTTGAGCAAGATAATTAAGTCAGCAATTTAGAAAAGGAAAGGAAAATAATTTTTCTACCCAATTTGAAGAAAAAAGCTATTTAGAGAAAGCAATAACATAGAAACCTGTGTAGTGGCCCACCAGACAAATTTTTGTTTTCATGAGAAAATATCAGGAAAGATAAAGAACTCATGGACGAGACCATTACAGACAAGAGCTCAAATCAATAGTCGGGAATACCTAAAAATAACCTTGAATTTAATTCACAGAGCAAGATACAAACTTACTTGAAAGCCCCAGTGTGAAGGTCCCTCTGAAGCTCTCCCTGCCACCGAGCTCGGCCCAAACGCTCCAGAATGCAGTAGGAAAAGTCAGGCAGTTTCAAGTCAGGGTCCCCCTCCCAGCCTATTAAAGCTCTGTAACGCTGCTCTTGGGAAGCAACAATGACCATTTTCTCTCCCCATCTAAGAAACAGGAGGAAAAGTGATGTATTGTTATTGGTTCCATAAAAACAGAGAGATCGATCCCTTTTATCTGCAAACACCGCTTTTGATATAATCKGTACAAACTGAGCAAGGACTAGATTTTAAAATTTAGGAATATTTTAATGCCAGAGATAAGGATTTCACTCACTTTTCAACAGCTTCTTTGTAAGTATAACAAGGCTGCAAATCCTTTGTCCTTATTTTATTGGTGATATCTACTCTCTCTTTAAAATACTGGCAGGAACCTTGTATGCCGTCCTTGTTATCCAAAATCATGTGGATAGGATAAATATCATCTGAAGAAATAGGATCTCTTTTGGTTTCCAGTATTCCTGTTTCAAGGTCTATTTCTTCATATCTGAAATAAATGCAAAAAGCCAATATTTAACCAAGTAAGAAGACATACAAGATTGTCACAAACAATGCTGATACCTCTAGGAAGTATCTGGGAAAAATGAAGCTCCTTTGACACCTCCAAACTGGMAAAATAAGAAGAGCAGAGCTGTACTCCTCAACATGGCCAAACCTTTTCAGCATGCAGAGTGCRGGAGGAGGGAGATACATTATTTAATCTTTGAAAAGTCAGGGATATCGTGGGAATAAGAGAAGTGGGAATAGCAGAAACATATAGTTCACAGGTAAGGAAAATGACAGGTATATCCTCCCGCTGAACCAGGACATATAAATTCTGCCTGTACCTATGCAGCAAGCAGTCATTTGGATGGAAATCAAGTCAGGACTCATATACAGCTCTCCTAAATCACAAACCCATCAAGATTGAAGAGACTTTTCAGATCTTCCAGTCCAACCATTCACCAGCACTACCACTGTGACCGCTGCACCCCTAAAACACATCACACAGTGACAGATCTTAAAACACCGCCAGGGATGGTGCCTCCACCACCTCCCTGGGCAACCTATTCCAATACCTGAYCACCCCAACAGTGAAAATTCTTTATATAATATCTAAACAGCAGCTCAGATCCACCCTCCGCTCTGCCTGCTGTCACCGGCTACCGAAGTGCTCCGGCAGCAAAGCCTGGGCGAGAAGGGGCAGCCCCTCAGCCAGGCCGGGTTTATCCGGCAATCAGCCCGGATTTAGCCCGGTAACTGGACCGGGTTTAGCCCCTCCACCAGGCCGGGTTTAGCCGGCAATCAGCCCGGATTTAGCCCGGTAACAGGACCGGGTTTAGCCCCTCCACCAGGCCGGGTTTAGCCGGCAATCAGCCCGGATTTAGCCCGGTAACCGGACCGGGTTTAGCCCCTCAACCAGGCCGGGTTTAGCCTGGCGACCAGCCTGGGTTTAGCCCCTCAACCAGCCCGGGTTTGGCCCGGTAACCGGGCCGGATTTAACCCGCCGACCAAGCCCATGTTAAGCCCGGCGACAGGCCCGGTTCCCCCGGCGGGCCGGTGCCGGTGCCGATGCCGGTCGCTGCCCTCACCGGTCGTGCAGGCGGAGCGGCGGCCGCGGCCGGGGCAGGAGGTAGAAGCGCACATCGGGCTGGGCGCTGAGCGCGGCCCAGAGCAGCTGCTGCGTGTCGGGCTCCAGCGGCAGCGGGAAGGGCGGCGAGCGGGCGGCCAGGCGCTGCCAGAGCGCGGCCGCGGTGATGCCGTCCAGCCCCTCCAGGGCCACCTCGTCCAGCAGCACCCAGAGCGCCTCCATGGCCTCCATCCCCCGCCGCTTCCGGGCCCGCGGCGCGCAGGAACTGACGGCGGACAGCGCGACCGTCGCCAGGGAGACCGAGCAACAGGCCCGGCCCGGCCCGGCCCGCGCCGCCGGGGGTTGTGTGTGCCGGGCTCCGGTGTCCGGGGACTCTGTCTGGGGGCTCTGCCCGCCATCTGCG